CCTCAGGTGAGCACTCAACTCCTCGGGGTCTCAGTTTTCTCATCTGTCCAATGGGGAGAGTAGTTTCTAACCTACACCCTCACAGGACTTCTGGGGGAAAAGGGCAAGGCGTGGGCAAGAGTCCTCCAGCTCTCCTCTCTGGCCCCCCTGCTCCGAGCACAGGGCAGGAGGCTGTTCCGGGAGGCAGGCTGAGGGTGGGGGAGGGTGGTGAGAGGGAAGCCCCACATTCAGACTTCCTCCCCTGATTTTTGCCTCGAGGCTAAGTGTCCACCTTTCCCTCTCACACCAGGTGAACAGAGGCTAACGGTTAGCATCAGAGAGAGGGGGACAGGGAAGAACTTAGTGTCTAATCCCTTGATACATTTTCAGAGAAAACATTCCAGAAAACTTTTCTCTAACCAACAAGGGCATGAAAGAGACTCTCCTGTAGGGACCCCTTCCTCTCCCTGACTCTCCTGAGTCCTGACTGGGTGGGTGGCCAGCAGCTCGAATACCCCAGGCCAGAGTTTGGGAGGCCCCACAGCATCCTTCATCCCCTCATCCCACAAACATTCTTTAGGCAAGGAGGATACAGCAGCTCTCAACCCAAATCGCTTTTTGGAGGGTGTGGATTCCCTTCCTAGATGGTCCCACCCAGGCCCATTCTCCATGTGCAGACAAGGAGGGCAGGGAGGGACCTGATAGCAGAGGCACAGACTGTCGTAAGAGCGACCTAGCAGCGGAGGGTGGCGGGGAGGACCCTCCCACTGCAGCCTCTTGGGAAGGAGGGGCAGACCTTCCGTCTCCGCCGCTGCCGCCGCCAAGTGCCTGCCGCGGGCTCACGTTTGCCTTTCAGGGGCGTCTGGAGCATCACAGGCGGTGCGCGGCAGGCGTTTGTCACAGCGCTCGCTCACCCACGCCCTTCCTGCAGTGGGCGGCTAATTGCAACCTGATCACGCGGCCCTCAAGAGCTCCGCGCCTGGCCCACCACTTCCTCCTGCCTCCCACCCCACGGGGAGAAGCTTCCAGGCTCCCAGGCAAGAACCTGAGGCTTTGCTGGCTGGCCGGTAAAGGGGCCAAAAAAGCAGTTCCTCCAGCCCCAGGGGACTCTGACTGCGGCTGCCCCCACCCCCACCCGCCACTGACTGCCTGGGGCCAGGGCTAGGGGAGGCCCAGAGACCATACTAAATGCCTGCCCACCAGGGACTCCCGATCTCAGGATCTGATCTGTCCTCTGGGTACCTCAGTCTCCTTATCTATTTTAAAAAAAACCAACCATCTCATTGGGTTGCTTTTAGGAATAAATCAGATTATGTATGTAACAGGCCCAGGAAACACTATGCTTCCTCCTGGCTTTTACCTTTCCTTCACTTTTAGAAACCCAGAATGTGTGTCCAGAGTTAAAAGCTTATGGGGTCAGAGGCCAGGATCCTGCCTGAGCATGTCCACACTCTTGGAGGCCACATGAGAATAGGGACTGTCCCTGATGTCCAGGGAATATGACATCACCATTACATGGAGGGGCAGTGACAACCTAGAAATAACTGTAATGGTAACATTGGCACACATACCCTGGTCAGCTCCAAGTTGGCTCATTTGAGAAAACTATCTTTTGGTTAATTAATGCTGGCTACAAAAACACTACCTAATTTATCCTGTTTTCCTACACTCCTCTCTGACACTGGCCCCCACGCCCAGCAGAAAGCCCAGCCCAGCATGGGGCTCTATTCACAGGCTGGGGAAGACTTTTCTAATTTGGCACAGCAGCACTAAGCCAGCTAGAAAAGGCACCATTAGCCTGTGTTCCACTCTCATTAATAAACATCAAAATAATTTCCCTGTTGACCCTCAGACACAGGAATCAACATATCTAAGAATGGATTTCAGCAGCATAAAACTGACAAAGGTCTCATCCAGGGAAGGGTTCCTTGCAAAGAGAAAATGGGAAGGGGTAAGGGGTAAAGGGTAAGGGGACAGTTGTAGACTAGGTCCCTCTGAGAGCATGTGGGTGGAGCCACGTATAAGTAAAGATTTAAACAAACAGAATGCATCACTATGGAAACATTCGGCTTTTTCAAAGGCATAGTTAAGAAAATAAAGCAATCAAGACTCCAGATTCAACCCTACAAGTGTTTATGACCAGAAAAGGCAAAGTGGGCCTTAGATATTCTGCAGCCAAGTAAAAGCTGCCAGAACTCGAGGAAGAAATATTCCCAGCAGGGCAGGGACCCATCATGTGTCAGGGCTTTTTCTGAAGCCCTCCAACTGAAGCATTCTGCTCACTACAGGGCCCACTTAACTCTCCTGGGGTTTCTATGACAAAAGTCAGGAGACAGTGCCCCTTACTGACCAGGTCCAGACAGATCCGCCACTTGCGAGGGCAGGTCACAGCAGCCATGGAGGCAGCAGGGAGTCCCACAGAAAATGGCAGGCTTACGACCTGTGACCCAGACTTATTAGGAATCATCAACACCACGTGGGCTAGTGGTTTAGTCAACAACGCAGATCGTGATTTTAATACTGAGGATACAATCTGATGGTAAGTGTCAGACTGTTCCAATCTGCACTTTTGAGGCAAGCTGCCTGTTGTCAACAAGTTTTCAGTGTGCAGCCGACCTGCGTCTCTAGGCTGTTGGCTGATCAGTCGTGGTGTTGGTCAGCCTCAGGAAGAAGCCTGGTGCTGAGTCTGGGCAAAGTCCCCAGAAGTCTCACAGGTGAAAACAAAGGGAGGAAGGCCTACTTGCTTACCTCTAGAAGTTTGCTTGGGTATGGTCAGGAAACTCTTGTTTTGTCACTTGCCAGGAAGGTTGGATGAGAATTTGTCTATTTTGCCATAAATTGGATTGTGTCCCCTCAAAATGAGCTTCCCTCAGTACAACGGACAATGCCAGTCCAGTTGGCGGCAGAGTTTCTAAGAGATGCTAGAGCTGATTAAGGAGGGATGAGATGCAGATGCCTGCCCTGGTGCACAGGAAAGCCAGGGGATAAATGAAGTGGCCTGGCAGTCAGCCTGGCCAGCAGGGCACTAGGGTGAGCTTGGGTCACCGGCTCTGCAGGAGCAAGCTCTGAGGCTCAGGGGCCTGGGGTTGCCCAGTAGATTATTCCACCTAAATTCTGCATGGCAGAATTTAGCCTGTGCTTTCCATTCTGGTTCTGCCATCTTTAAGCCCTATGAAATGGCCTCACCACTTAAGAGGCTCAGTTGCCTAGTCTTTACAATGGGAACAGCAGAGCTTTAGGGAGGATTAGGGATTATGTATAAAGTTCCTAGGACGGTTACTGAATTGTCCTGGCAGGTTATTATTAAAGCTCAAAAAAGGGGCAGCTAAAAAACTAAACCTGTTCTTCTTCATGCTACAGCCATTATATTTGCCCCCTCTGCTTTACAAGTAACGTTGGCAAAAAAAAAAAAAAAAAAAAAAGCTTCACCCTTAATTCCTAGTTAAGATCTGCCACCAGTAAAACACAGCAACAGGTTGGAGCAGTCACTGAGCACGGGCATCCTTTGCCAGGGTCTGGAATCCCTGTCTGGTCCTACACCCTGTACTTTTACTTTATGGCAAGTACCTACTTGACATTTTAGAAGGGACATTATCTTAGTGGTAGAAAGAAGCAGTTCTTGCGTTTGACAGCAAGAAACAAAACCTTGCTCTCAGATGAAGAAACCCAGGTGGTGGCCCAAGCTGTGTGCTGAAGAGTAGGAATTCGTTTCCCTGACAGACATGGCAGTGATGAGGGAAGAGATCAAATCTGCAGCTGACGCAAGGGGAGAGCATGATCTAGCACTAGGAGAGATGTGGCAAGACCTGGAGTCATCTGCCAGCGCCTTCATTTGTGGGCATGGGAGAGGAATTTCCCCAGGTCATACATCCAACTCATAACCAAAGCTGGCTGCCCAACCCTGGCCGGGTTTTGTCTGTCTGAATAGGAGGAAAGCTAGGAGTTAAAGAGAGGTTTGATTTTATTGTTATGGTGATTTGTACCTCCCGCACAGGAAGGCTTCCTATGAGGCTCAGATTTTATAAAGCATTTAGTGTTTCTTAGATAAAGGAGCTATGCACACGCAACCACATTTTAGAAACAGAGACTCTGACTCAAGAAGCCACAGAGCTTGTCAGAGAAGGGAGCCTGGCCAGGCAAAGCATCCACCTGAGTTCTGGGGAAGAGCCTGCCCAGCCTTTGGCACTTGATCATGATCACGGGGATCATCTATCTTACAGTATGGAATGGAAACAAGACCAAAAGCAAGAAGGCTTTGTAAGCTTTCCCCACAGGCAGCAAGGGAAACTCTAACTCTCTCACCCTACTTTCATCCATTTAATTCCATTCTCTTTCTCTTCTGTTTTCCCTGTCTTGGTTTGGAACTGATCTGGCACACTGCTCCTAAGTCAAGGGGTCAGGAAGACACGTGCTTTTATGATGCAATGAGGGGCAGCCTCTGTTCTGTTTTGGGAACCTTGGTGACATCACAGACTAATGATTGAATCTTGGGAACTTGTGTAGAAGAGAGCACTGAGTCAGAAGAAAGCCTTAGTCATAGGGTTACTGAAATTGAAAGAGAACAGAACTATTAGGTAACTGAGTCTATTCCCTGCAGGACTGCTCCTTCTCCTATCTGGCTTGGGTTTAAATGACTTAAGTAATTCCCCAGGGGAAACTAATCTATGTGGAACAGCTGCCACTAGCAGGGCGTTTGCTGCTCTTCAGCCGAAATTTCTCATGACATCATGCAATTATTCCTCCCTTTGAGGGGACAGTTTTCTCTTGTATTCCAAGTAGTCCAGGTGGCTGCTTGAAGATATGCCGGAGAGCACTGCTTCCACTCTTTATTCAGAGGCCTATAACCTGCCCGAGTGTGTCCTGGGAAGATGGGCAGGCAAGGAGACTCAGCTAAGTAAAGTGCTCCCAGAATACGCAGCTTTCCATCACAATAGCACACAAGCCAAGATGTTTAGGAGTCAAGGCAGACTTCAACAGAGCTCTGTTTGGGTTTCAGCAGCTGTCTGCCTGCGGAAGGCTCCAGTCACTGACGCATATTTGTATCTCCACTTTGCTAAAGTCACAGGGAACAAACATGTGCAGATTTACCCTGAAGGCAAAGTCCATTCATATTTCTTCAAATGAAGCGGAAGAGGGCAGGAAAAAACTGCTTATGGACAAAACCATCTGTGAGCACAGCCACAGCAGTTTTTAATTTGCCTAAAGAAAATATGTGATTCCGAAGTGTGGTTAGGGATTACTGCTCCCTCAGTCACCATATTATAAACATGAACTGCTGGCTGCCATTTAACAGGACTTCAAGCTGGGAAGTAAACACCATCTTCATCTTCCGAACAGCCACACCACAAGAGTAGCTGGGCAGCTTCTGGAAGTTTCTTCATGGTGGAAGGTCTGCTCAGTCTCAGCATGGCTTCTGTCTCAAAGATCTCACATCAGCAGTGCGCCCCGCCCCTCGAGGGTCTGGATAAACTGTCCGAAAGGTCAGGTTTATTCGTGGTTCTCTAGAGTGGTACTCTTTGGGCACTCGATGCTAAATGGAAATATGAATAACTCTGACATAAACACACTTACATTTTCACTTCAAAGCAATTGAAAACTTATTTATGAGGACACAGACATATTTCAATTTTATCCCCCCTTTCATGAGCAGTAATAGCTCTTTACAGTCTTGTGGATAAATGTCTCCTTCTCTGAAACAAACCCCCACCCCCACCCTCACCATGATATGCCAGCGCCCTCACAGTAAGAAAGTTTCATCTTTTCTAAGTGGCGCTCTTCCTCTTAGCCTCCTGCCACTTTTCCAGAGCTCATAAGAAGATACATAAATGGCTGAGCCCAGTGATGCATGAGATTCTCCTCTCATACTAAGTGTTCTGACATTAATTTGCACAACTTAAAAATGGCCTGGCCTAAGCTGTGGATCTGTGCAGCCCCATGTGCTAGCCACTGGCTGCCTGAAGCTTTTTAAATTAATTACAAATTCTGTTCTTCGGCACACCAACAGCATCCCACAAGCTCAAGAGTCATTGTGTCTAGTGGCTTCTACACTGGGCTGCACAGATTCAGAATTTTTCCATCATCATGGGAAGTTCTATCAGACACCACTGCTGTGGAGGGCCACTTTGATTGTAGGCAGTACCAAAACTCCTTGGAAATGATGCCACTTTATTGCCTCTTGCTTTTTATAAAAGCGACTTGCTTTTCACCACGTTTACTATAGAAATTAATAATCATAAGCCAGTCAGGAAACTGCCTCCTCATGACAGTGAACCCACAATACTTGCATGTTCTCACCTGCCAGTCAGCTTGTGTGGCTCCTTCCATGATTAACAAGGTCCCGTGATCCAAGGGGATCTTTACTCTGTCCACATACGTGTAGTCTCCATTCTCCTCCTAGAAAACAGCATTCATTGCACTGAATGTTCTGTTCGTGTGATCAAGATGCAGACTGTGACACTGGTCAAAGAAATGCCAATCTCCACTCAGCCAGATGGCAGGGCTTCATTTACTGGCTCTGTGACTTGGTAGCTGTTTGGCCTTAGGCAAGTTATTTCACCTTTCTGTTCCTTAATTCACTCATTTGTAAAATGCGGATGATCGTAGTACCTGCCACACAGGGCTGCTGTGAGCCTCAACTGATATACGTGTAAATCACT